AATTTGTGGGAATTTTTGTGAAGTTTAGAAGAAAAACAGAATGAACTTTAAACTTGAAAATCGAAGACCTAATTCATGATACTACAATGTTCGAAACAGAAGTTCAAAGTTCACTCGAATATAATGAATCTATAAGTAATGTTAAATTCAAAATCAAAACAAACTTAAAAAGGTATGAAACTGAACATTTTAAATCTTCTCAAAATGTTAACGTTTGTAATTCAAATATTCGCGATACATCATCTTCTATCAATTTGCCTAAATTACGCATTCCCACTTTTAATGGCGATTCTAGTACATTTCAAGAATTCTTTAACAGTTTCTCAAGTGCAGCTGACTGTAATGAATCATTAAGTAATGTTGGCAAATTCATTTATTTAAAATCTTTCCTTTCGAGCGATGCTTAGAAAATTGTTTTGGGATTCGCGCTTATGGAAGAAAATTGTAAATCCATGTTTGAATTTGTTAAAGGAGCGATACGGTAACCAAGAACATTTGATTAGTTATTTCATGAATAAACTACTAGAAATTGAACCAGTTAAGTCTTCTTCGATCTCCTCGCACTTCGAAAATTGAATGAAGAAAGTGAAATTAGTATAAGAAATTTAAATTCTATGGGAGTTGCATCCGGAAATTACGCTCATCTGCTAATGCCAATTTTATTAAAATAATAACCTCAGAATTTAGTAATAAAATTTTATCGCAAGAAAGATCCAAAAATTTCTAGTGATATAAATCAGCTGATGAATTTTATCAAACTTGAAACTGAACGTAGGGAAGCTGCAAGGACTGTTTCTGGTCTTTCTTTAAAGACACAGGAACCTTTAAAAGGAAAGGATCACTCTCAACCACAGGCTAGATTTAAAACCAATATTCCAACATCAGCTGGATTAAAGAGGTAGTGAAGACGAGCAACTTTTTTAATTCTAATTCTTATTCCGGATTAAAGTGTAAAACATTCACCAATGAACAAAAGCGATATAAACTAAAAACAGAGGGACATTGTTATAAATGCTTGGTTAACAAACATTTAATTTCGCAATGTAAGTAAGAATGGAACCTTGTGAAATTTGTCAGAGTTTACAGCATAATTCATTATTCTGGCTCGCAACAAGGAATAAAAATACATCGGAAATTAAGCCGTCAGAATATTCCGAATTTATTCAAAGTTCTGATGAACAAGCTGTGATGTCTTCTATATTTAAGTCACAAAACTATGTACAAAATTACACTACTTTACTTGACTGCTTGTGTACAAGTGAAAAATAATTCTAAACGGTGAAGTAAGTGCATTGATGTTATTTGATTCGGGCTCGCAGAAGTTATTTATTCGAAAAGATTTATTAAGGGCTTTAAATGTGCAAGCCTTAAAGAAGGAAAGGCTTTTAGTTTATACTTTCGCAAAAAGTAACTCTTAACGTTCACAAGAGCAGATTCGACCGGCGGCGAAAATTGGTTTTTCGAACGTGTCTTATTCACACGGTGACAAGCATTAACTGCTTCTCCGAATTGGAGGTAGAACGTTCCCTACCTCTCGGGAGCAGGGCAAATGGGGAGATTTCCCATACTGCACTGCGCGATTGCGCAGTTCACTTAATTACAACAAACAACATGGCTGACTTGAAACTGACTGCTCACTGGACTGTCAGCAAAACAATCGCGTTGGTAGATATCTGAGGCTGCGATATCATCCAAAAAAATTACATAAAATCGTAAGAAATACGGAATTTTGTAAACAAGTACGGACAATGTTATCTGATGCTGGGTATTCCAGATATATCGTTCAAATTAAAACTAAAAACGCGCATATCGGCTTCAACTCGACAAAGGAACTCGGTACCTTTTGAATAATTTAATGATTTTTTTTTATTTAAGACCTTTTATCTACTTTAATGAATGTTATTAAATGGTTTTGTAAAACAAAATAACGTTAAGCTGAGAAAAAAAAAAAAATTCCAGTATTTTTTTTTAATTAAAATTTTTGAAAGAAGAGTTTAGCAATTAAAATGTCATTTTTCTCTCACAATTATCAATGATTTTCCCCCATATTTTCTTATTGTATTTATTAGAAAGTTCTCAATAACTATAAGGATCGATTTTGCATTTAATGAATTAGTTCCTGAGAAAAAATAAAAACACATTTTTATGCAAAAACTTTGAAACAAATATGATCTCAATTGCATTTCCATTTCAAATAATTTTTTTTCAGTATTTTGCAAAACCCATTCCTGTTCCTATAAAGTATATAATTTTAATTAAGGGGTAAAAATATTAAATAATTTAGGCCATATCTATATAAGTTTTAGGACTTTAAATAAAAGGATTTACGAAAAAATGCAAACTGAGGAAACGCAGTTTAAAGAATATAAGCTGTCTATATGGTCATTAAATCATTTCAAATTTCTTAAAAATTTTATTACTGAATTTCATTACATATATATATAATGAAAACTAGTGCTGTTCCATTGGTTAATACAAGTATAAACATAAAATACAAGCTTTTAATTAAAATCTTCGTAAAACACATTCAAAACAATTTTTACAGATGAATTAATTATAATATATTTTCAAAAACAAATATAAAATATTCAAATATTAAAACATTTATAATTAACATTAATGCTATTAATTTGTCCTTTATTCATTTTTTCAAAAAGCAAAGACATTTTAGCAGCCACAAAACATTTTATTTAAAACCGCTCAGCAGCATATGTGGTTTCTTTTCTTTTTTTAATCATTTGGTCTCTTATATAAATTGCATTTTAAATTAATCTAGGTGTATTTTAATTAATTAAAGAATTAAACTTCGATGGCGTTCTATAGCAATAGTAAACAATGTCAAAAAAGATGTATGTAAACGTTAGAAATTCGCCAATCTGATTCGCGTCTGTGACATCATTCATTGCTAGCAGTGACTTATGGATTAAGGTAGAGGTCTTCAACCCGTAAGAAACTTAATTCCTACCTCCATGGGTATACCTAATTTGAGTACTTAATTTGTTTTATCAGCAGGTTTCTAGATAAAATGCATATCGATGAGTTCCGCATTTTTAAAACACTGCATAACAATCGAAATCCACACCCAGAAGGACGATTTACGCAATTAGATCACTTTTACTCACGAGCAATCTCAACAGCGTCATGTACCACTTCAGTGCGCCATTTCAGCACACATACATTTAATTAAAAGATCTGCTTAAATTTAAATTTAAATTATTGTTACGTGCGTACGGGTTCGTAATGGACTGAATGCACGCAGAACCGATGATCAAATTTATTTCCGTCTAAAAAAAAAAACGCTTTTCAATTTTGGAACTTTTCACAAATGTACTCGAGAGATCCTCTCAGTATGATAGGGGCACAGTCAGTAGTTACCTCTTCAAACTACTAAAAGCGTTAAACACAATGCAAAGCATATCTAAGCAGCGAAGCTCGCATAGAGATCTCTCAGAACTCCGAACTCAGCTCAGAACTAAAAACTGAAAACTGATGATCTCTCCGATTTCAAAGTTTTCCTTAGACCGCCGAGAAATTTTCAGTACATTCGATTTCTCGAAAGGCATATACAACTAAAGTTATATATAGGGCCAAATACAATTACAGTTACATATAGGGATCAGACCAATAAAAGGCCGTTCCTACTGGGTTTATCTGAGCTAACGGGGACAAACCATCTCCGAAACCAGTTTTTTCCCATAGGGCAGCAAGTTGAAAAATCTGAACTGCAGGCATAGGAGCTAGTCGACACGTGGAACTGACTCCATTAGCTCAGATAAACCCCAGTGGAAATGGCCCTTTTGGGTTATACAGGGATCGAATCAAAATGTCGCCAAATGTTTTGGAGGTGACTTTTGGCGATTTTTCTCCAAATTTTGCAACAAACATTAGTTACCTAAATCATCGCCAGCTTGTCACAATCTTGCCAAATTGACCAGATTACATCAATGTTAAATGGACCTGCTCCTGTAATCTTATTTTTCCGGCAGAACTTTGTTTTCTCGAGACATTTCGTGTTAAATTATACAAAAGATACAGTTTTACATACAATTTTACTAAAATTATTTATATATATATATATACAAATACTATATTATTAGTTTACGTAATACTATTATTAGTTTGACATTCACATATATAAAATTGAATCTGCTTACAAAGTTTATCTAATGGAACAAATAATTTTAATGTAACTTAATTTCAGTTATTTGAACGTTAAGGCTCTTCTGCCTTTTATGTTAGGAAGAACGGATTTGTAACAGATAGGTGGCTGAATACTGATAGCTAAGAAAGAAGAGTGACTGTTGTTCTTGACACAAGTATGCATCCACCTGGTCTATAGTCCTACAAAATAGCTCTATTTTACTGCTACCGAAGCTTCTTTTATGATAAAAGCAAATATCCTAAAAAGTTTTCTATATTGCCCCAGTAATTGTCGTTGGGTCTTGTAACAACTAATCGCATTAAAATTTAAACTTTTTTTAGTTATAATTTTCTTTGTCTATTTGCTTTGCAACGTTTTGAAGTTTTAATTGCACACGTAATCGTCTGACATGCTTGCTCTGTGTACTAACAAGAAACTAGTCCACAGTAATCTATTAAATTATAGGTAAAATCCTAGGAGAGCCCACACCCTTGGCGGCAAACTGGAAAAGTGAGCACAGCTTTTCGCGTTTCTCAAAATTGTCAACTTAAAAATAACAAGTTAAAGAATTGCACAAACTCGGTATCCATGTACACATTCACCTTTAAAAAAAAAAAAAAAAAAAAAAAAAAAAAAAAAAATTAGAGAATTGCACAAACTTGGCATTGTATGCTCCCTTGACTTTGTTCATGTACACATCGATACGCGCCATAACCAAAATCATTCGCGCCAAGGGTGTAGACTCTGCTAGGGTCCAATCAAATTATACAATCTCTCACACTCCTAATTGCTTGATATGTTTCTCTTATTGAAACATACTCTAATAGATATTGTTTTAATCTTCTGTGTCTTACTTTAGTTGCCTGGAGAAATTTCGAATATTGCGAAGGTACATCATGGATTAAATTCAAAGAAAATTGCTACTTGTTTGAAACGAAATCCCATAAACGTATTTCCTTCTACGATGCAGAAGATTACTGCCGCTCTCAAGGAGCCCATCTTTTGTCTATTCATTCTGAAGAAGAAAATGATTTCATTCTCAATACCGTAAGTACAGAAGCTATAAATTCTTTTAAATTCATCTCTTTTCGAAGCATTCCAGTTGTGAAATGACTCTCAGTAACTCATATTTTTAAAATCTGATAGAGAAAGATCTACGTTTGACACAAGAGTGAATAAAATTTTCTTCAAGAATTCATACCCGTTTGTATATATCCCAGGGCCTACCAGCGGTCGAGCGGTAAAGTCGCTGAACACTGGTAGTTCGGTCCGAGTTTCGAATCCCGCGAACGTGCTGGCTGTATGGGCGTTTTCGTGGTTTTCCCCATGTGTAATATGTATACGAGCCAGTTTCCCTTAGAAAGTCCTCCACAAAGGCATCCCTTCCCTTAGGCAGATAGTCCTAGTTGCTTTGCCGTAATTAAATCAACCAACCAACCAACTGTATTTCTAAAAACCAGTTATTTCTTCCAAAAACATCAGTACTTTCTTAATGCATAATTGTTGTAGCTCGCTTCACTCAGAATGCCCTGTAAGTATTTATTCGTTCAAGTTTCTTCTGTTTTTTAAAATAATAAATTGCGTATTAGTCTTTTACGAAAACAAACACAGCAGACATTTAAAACTCATGGAGTACGGACAATTTATTGCACGGCATTGCAAATAAATCCAGCATCATCGAGATTTTGCATAAAATGTGTAAAACGAATCCTTTTTTTACAATATACAAATGCAGTCTATTATATTATTTCAATAATGTGTTTGATGATGATGAGATCAATTTTAATGAAGCTTGACAGATCCGTTTTTCTACAAAACTGGACAAATAACCATCACAGGAAACTGAATGATATTTTGATTTGCAAATTTAAAGAATCGACTGAGAATGAGAAAAATCAAATTTCCTGTTGTTAAAATCTTATTTTCAAAGTTTCTTAAGTTTGAAAAGAAGGGGGGAAAGTGAATAAATATATGAAGAAGGATAGTGTTATGTCAGTATTATAATTTTCAAATTACTCGATCTCTTAGAATATAGATAAAAGAACTATTAAAATTTTGAGATCTATTATATTTTCAGCAACATGCAATAATTTGTGACCTCGGCATCCCTGTTTTCATGCAGGCATAGTACCATCGTATGATCAAATCAAATGATTGTCTAGAATAACATTGTTACACGCTACAAGGTTCATAGCTCTTAAATAACCAAGCCTGGTAAACTGGAAAACATGAACCTGAGGTGAATAACATTCTTTACACATAAATATAAGGAGTTTAAAACACCTCGAGGAAACAGAGATAAGCGAAATTTTCTTTAACACGCGAGAATATCGCAAATCATAAAATTGCTCACATAGCAAAGCAATAAGCTTAAAAGTACAGTCGATTCCGCTTAATTGGGACACCGCTTAATCGGGACAGCCGCTTATTTGGGACTAATCTCAAAGAACAGATACCAAACTAAGAAGCCAATAGAAAATTTATATTGTTTAATTGGGACAACATTCCGCTTAATTGGGACAGTAAATTTAAGGTCACAGTGCATATTACGAGTTTCTTACGGAGCGTTGTCTTACAGCTTTATTTCGCATGCGTTGCCTTACAGCTGATTGTGTATGCGTTGCATCACAGGCGAGCGCAAGGGCGTTCTTATTCAGTTACCATTACACCTCGTACATGACGACTGTTTCGATTGTTGCATATTTGATTCACTCACAATACACATCGCGCGTGAACAGTGCATAAACTTATTGTTCAAAAATTTAACCCTTGCCAAAATGCCAAGAAATGATTTGACACTTTCTAGCAAAATTGCTTTGCTAGATAAAATAAAAAGCCAGCCACCTAATACAAGTTATCACCGGCTCGCTGAGATAACTGGAATACCAACATCTACCATATCGCGTGTCTTACGACAAGAAAGTCAACTGCGTTAGGAATTGGTTTTAGAAGAAGGACAAGCAGGAACATCCAAAAGGAAACGCGAGGGGAAGGATCCAGACGTCGAAGAAGCACTAGATCAATGGTTTTCTATTGGATCAATGGTTTCTACGACAATTTTCTATTGTTAGTGGCAGAGACGTAAATATCAACGGCCCCATATTGAAGGCGAAGTCAGAGGAGTTAGCTAAAAAACTGGGCCGCAATGATTTCAAAGCGACTGACGGGTGGTTATCGCGATGGAAAACAAGACACAACATTAAATTTAAAAAAGCGCTCGGTGAAAAGGGCAGTGCCGACAAGGAAAGTTCCGAACAGTGGAAAACTACGAAAATTCCTACTTTTTTAGAGAATTTTTGTGCTGATGAAACCGGCCTCTATTATCGTGCTACGCCAGACGGTTCCTTATGCTATAAACACATTGCACTGACTGATTATAAAAAGCCGATGGACCGCATTACTTTGTTATGCTGTACAAATATGTCAAGTACTGACAAACGAAAACTACTGATCATAGGAAAAAGTGCTAGACCTCGATACTTTAAGGGGTTGAGCATGGAGGACTTACCAGTGGAGTACCATGCAAGCAATAATTCGTGGATGACTTCTGAAATTTTTCGAAATTGGCTTATCAGTTGGGACCGAAATTTACAACATAAAAAAAGAAAAATTTTGCTGATTGTTGACAATTGTGTGGCACACCTTCATTTAGACAATCTACAAAATATACAGCTGGAAATTCTTCCTCCTAATACCACATCTTTAATGCAACCAATGGACATGGGAGTAATAAAAAATTTTAAGACTTTGTATAGTGGGAAATTGGTTAATTACATATTAGAATCCATTCATGAAAATTTACTAACAACTCCCACAACAGCCGGAGAGATAAGTTCAAAAATTTCCCTTTTGCAAGCAATACAGTTTGTCGCTGATAGTGGGCGAGCTATAAAAGCCACTACAATACAGAACTGTTTTACTAATTGTGGCTTTAAACCCCTAGAAATTTCCGAAAATTTAAGCAACGAAGAAAATGAGGATAGGTTGCAAGTTCCTATTTATATTAACTATGAAGAATTTCCAACAACAGATAACAATTTACCATGTTACGATGATAATGAAAACTGTGAGGATTCAATCGTAGAAGGTATTAAAATCAAAACATGGAAAATTAGACGAAGGTGGCGATGATGATGATGAGTCACCTGTGCCTGTGACTAACCAGGAAGCAAAAAAATGCATTGCCACGTTACAGCGTTATTTTATGCAGGAAGGAAATGAAGGGAGCCCTGCAAACGCACTGAATATCTGCGCTGATTTTGTAGAAAAGAAATGCTACAAAAACAAAAAAATAGACTACACTTGACTCATTTTTGTAATTTTAATTTAGAATTTTAGATTCATATTAATTTTAGATAAATATTAATACATAATTTTCCCATTTGTAATTTACATTTATTAAAATTATTGAAAAAAATATGTATTGTTTAATTTATTACCGGTTATTGGTCTTAGTTTCCAAAACCAAATAAATTTATTTAAAAAACCGTGAAATTCGCTTAATTGGGACAAAATGCCCTGTCCTAGTGTGTTCCAATTAAGCGGAATCGACTGTATTACAGTCTGTAATAGTTCTAGCAGCATGTTAGGTTAGATTACTAATAAAGTATTCAAGGTTGACCATCCTAGAGGAAGTTTTCTGAAGATTTATCAGAAACTAATTTGTAGTTCTGTTAATAATTGTAGCAATTTAGTGCGTTTCATTAACACTGGACCTAGAACAAACTACTACATTATTCATTTAAGTCCAAAACAGTAGAATATTATGAAATTCTGATAGCATAATTTACTGCTAGGACGAAAATATTGTTTTGGGGTGCAAACCATTCATAACGCACAACTGATACGCATTAAATAATCATACAAAAAGCTCTAAAATAACATCAGATGTAACCAAATTAATGTAGTATAATCTAGTCTAAACTACTTGACGTAACCTAGAACTTCACGGGGACTCAGGTTCTATTGCAGCAGAATATTTTTATCTTGTTGAAAGCATTACTGAAATCTTAGAGAGAAGTTGGTCCTAGAGCTTCAAAAATAATTTTGCTGGAACCTTCTAAAATATTGACAACTTGGCCAGATACCAGCAAATGCTACAAAAGCTTCTGTCCATAATTATGATTCTTTTGAAGCTGTCTTTTAAATCCAATGCTAGTCGACACAGAATTAAAAAGCCTAGGAAAAAATATGTGAAATAAGCACATGGAAACAGAATACTTGGCTACAGGTTCGTCATTAAATAAAGTGACCGATAAATTATCGTAGAAAATATGTTAAATAGATAAATAAATAAAAAGATAAAAACAATATACAGCACAAAAAATGCATGAAAACCAAAACACAAGTAAAGAAACATTGTATCAATTTTCGACAATGAAAAACTTAAAGGATATAAGATAATAAAAAAGAAAAATAAAGAAATTCATTATTAGGCAAGGCAAAATCAGTAATTCAAATCAAATGCATAATACATAGAATTATAATTACAGTTTATTAATTACAATAATATATTAATGTTTATAAAAAATATTTGTTAAATATATACTTTAGTTTCCCTGAAGCAGATGTACTATAAATTTCACCAATAAGAAATTATTAACACATACCTGTATGTAAACATACATACCTGTATCTAGATAATTAAGAAATATGTAATTTTGCTTTTCAATGACTTAGCTTAATAATCAGTTGTTTTAATTGAAAGACAAATTAAAAGTCTTACAGCCCATTGAATTACAGTGAAGTGAAAAAGCTATCAAAATCAGAAAATTACCACTTATTTTTTTAAATTTAATATCAAGCTCTTGCCTATTTGACACTGACCTCTCCTAAGGCCAGAAGATATAGTCATTTTATAGGCGGCCGTATAGGCACCGTATAGGCGGCCACCGTTGCCTCCTATGAAGGGACGGACAGTTACAACCATGCCTTCTCCGGGATTCGAACCCAGGTCCTTCCTTATCGCTTTCGGCGACCCTATCCACTATGCCGTCTAGGTGGCTACCAAGCCATTATGTGTAAAAGTGAATTTACGAAAAAATAGAAAATGCTGTTAAAAGCTGTTATTACAAAAATAAAACTTGATTAAAATAAATTTAGGGATCAAAATCTTATAGCCCATCGAATGACATCATCTCTGAGAACTTGCAACTAGCCAAGTCATGTCATGTAGATGTCATAGCGTAACAAAACAATAATAAAAAAATTCAAATCTATAGCCGCTTGTAATATAAAAAAAGTTTTATTAAAAAAGTGTGAATATCTTTTGGGAAAAAAGTTCACTTTTTGATAAATTATTAAGCTATTCAAGGAACATAAATTAAAGAAATTAAATTTTGTTAAAAGTAAAATCAAATTTTGTTAATTAATAGCACTGACCAGCGTTTCTCAAATTTTCTTTAAGTGGGAGCCACTTGTATAAATTAGAATGTTCTGCGAACCACCTTACTCTTATCTCGTATGAAAGAAATTTTATAGCCTATTTTACTACTCCCTGCTTAAACTTTTAAAATGTAACTAATTAAAGTTGATTTAATTTCGTATTTGTATTAAGTAATTATTTAATAAAAGAAAACTTATATTCCTTTTTAATAATTTGATGTTATTAGAATTTGTATAATCTTTCTCTTACTAATTTTTTCAGTCTTGGGAGTCAGTCTTTAGTCAGTCTTGGGAGAAAAATATTAGAAGATCCACAATAATTTATCTCTCAGGTTTTTCAACTAATATGGAATACGCAGTTAACATGAATTTTACTTTTTGTCTTTTTCGAAAATCTAGGAGGACTACAACGGCAGATCTTGTCAAATGTAAATTAGTTCATTTGACAAGATCTGCCGACTCTTTATCTGCAAATTTTATGACTTAGGATACCAGAATTTTAGATAAGGCTTTTATTTCTTTGGGTATATTGAATCTATTAGCCACAAATAATAAATAAAAAATATAGCGGTATGTATTTAAAGCACCTAAAAATCTAACTGAAGTATCGACATCAAAGTTCAAGTTATATCATAAGCTTTCATTTCCTATTTTTTTAAGGCAGTTTTTAATACAGAATATAAAGGGTGATAGAAAAATCGGGAATATCACGGTAAGAAAGTAAAATCTGCTGATTTATTGCGCAGACAGCCTAATTACCAATATTTATTACCTTATGTTATACAAGCTCAGCATGAAACCGTGCCTTTAAAACATATGTTCAAAATGGTAACTGTTAAAAATTTTATCAACTTTATACTCTTAAAATTTTTAGATCACTAAAGTAAAAATTCACTTACCTTCTAAAGGGCTGACCTGAACTGCCTTGCTTTCTTTTCGATATCCGCGTCTATACTGAAATTCTATTCACAGCGGAACACTACTATAAATTTTTTTAAAGAAATTTTAATTAACATGTAAGATATTTACAAGTTACAATCTATACAAACATTATTTTTCTATTATATACAGAGACGGTCTATCATTTCGACTTCTGTTAGACGCGTCACCCGTTCAACTAACTACTTTTTTGTCTCTTTCGCCAGAGGGCGTTCGTGGAGTTATTAGCACACAGACGTGATAGTAATGTAATGTTATTCAGTAATGCACGTACATACTGTTTGCCATATTTGACGCCACTTTATGGAAGCAACTATATGCAGATGTTTTTAATCGCCATCTGAATGTTCCTGCTTAGGTCCTCCATTGTATGTGGGTTGTTTTAATAAATCTTGCGTGTATGTACGCTATGTGTTTCTTAACCCGGTTTCTTCAGCTCCTGTACCAGGGAATATGATATAGACGAAAGTATACTTTTCATCGTTTTCCTGAAATCTTCCGTATGCAGTCATTGATAACGTAGCTTCATTCTGTCGACTTCGAAACTTCCGCCAATTTAACTCAAGTATAATTCCTAAACTTTTTTTGTCTGCAACTGAACCACATTCCTGAAAATTGTCCATTAATCTTGTTATCGTCGAACTGTTAGACACTACCGCATCCATATATTTCTGATTAAACGTCTACAATATGTACGTAGAAACAACTGGCGAAATACTGTGCAGCAATGAAAATTCGTTGCTTTGGAAAAAACGGTGCTACTGCTTAATTATACCAACACAGCTCTAATACAGACGTTCAATCATTGCTCCTAGAGTGACATTTAGCCACTATTATAACTTCGTTCAATTTTTAATAAGACAATTACTTGATGTGCGCGATTTTCTGACCTCTCTGTATCTGCGATGATTTTGTATTGCTTTCTTTTTCTCCAAATGAATCCGTCCTAATATTTTTATATAGATGGATAAAGGAAGGTTTGGTGGTAGACACTGGATTGGACTCAATATACTCGCTGGAGATGACAAGCCTCAATGGTCTGATGACTCTCCGGTGGATTTTCAGAAACGAGTACCAAAAGATTTCTTCGTGAATGAAAAATGTTTCATAGTATTCCTTGAGAAAAGTAATTATCATTTCTAATGAAATTTCTCTTATTTTCGAGTATTTACTTTAACCTTCCAAGGGCGGTAAAATTCGACGTAGAAAAGATGATTTCCAATTAATTACATAAAAAAAAAAAAATCCTCTCAACTCCTGATGAATCCGATTTCGTTTTCTGCGATATATTTTCTTTCTCGAATTCCTTAAAATCGTAATACTCTTTGCTCTCATATCCCCGATTTCCTGTCCTGTCTAATTGACAGGGGGAAAATAGCAATCCTTAGCATTTAGGTTTATGCTACACAGCCGCGCTCGCCGCTCTTGCATACTGGCTATATGACTGGTATGTAAAATCTCAGGCGAAGTCTCATATAGATTTCTATTATCCCATCTCATAAAGGATTTGTTAAATTAAAGCTTTCAGAAAAGAATCATAATAGTTCAACAAAAATTAACACAGTTTATTATAACAATTTAAACAAAGGCGCGATTTTACTTTACAAGTGACGTAAAATTTTATAACGTGTTCAATGTATTATTGGTTTCTATTGGACCAAAATTTGATTTGGTGGCAGAATACGGCATAAACAGAATAACGAGAAAAATCAATTTGTTCTTGAACGTGTTAAATGAATTTAACGCTGTATGGTGGAAATCATTTCATCTAGTGACTTAAAACATCAGTCAACCATATAAAAGCATGCTGAGTTTTTTCACTGCAAATCTTAGGCCTTTCTTTCTAAATTTTTTTTTTACAAATAAATAAATAAATTAATTTTAAAAACTTAAAATTCAGAATTTTTTGAAAATAATGTTCAATAATAACTGATACAGCTAAATATTTTCTCAGTGAAATATATACATATATATTATTATATATATTAATTACAAAAACAATTTCTTTAAAAACGAAATATAAATATGCCTAGTATTTTCGCCTTTTAAGCTGCAGAAAATTTTCATTAAAGACATAAAGAAATTTAGAACTAATGTTTTACAAAGACGAAATTCTGAAATTCATAATTGTTAAATTTCAGCTAATCTAATGAGTGCAACAACGAATTTAATAAATGTAGAAACCAAAACTTTTAAACAATTAATATCCCAATTCAAAAAAATTCCTTAAAGAATTATACGGTCCTTCAATCTGTATAGTGACATTTAGTAAAGGTTTATATTCATTCTAAATAAAAACACAAAATGTTAACCCCCTAACGATAAAAATTAACCTAGCTATTTAATTTTAAAGTTTCCATCGTCTTCTAGTGTTTATCCAAATTGAAGAGTGAAATATTTAAATAGAAGAAGGAAAAAACTAGAAAGGAAATTTAAGTTTCTGATATTAATAGATTAAGTGACAAGCATTGCTGTGCAAATTGGGGGTGAAACATTTTTTATAAATACAAATTTTTCCAATAAAGAGGTCTTTTTTCCACAGCCTTACAGATTTCCGAGTTCTAAAAAGTAGGGGCAGACTTTAGTATTGACATATCGCCAATTATAAGAATCTAATCTTAACATTATCTGCATTAATTAAAGTAGAAAACTATTTTAGAATATTTTTTCTGTGATTATTAGATTATAGTCGTAAAAAGTGATAAGTCTACGAGTGAATATTATTAATACATTTCTACCATTTAAAAACCTTAATATTTCTCGCGTGAAAATGCATTCGTAACGTAGCAAAATTGTGAAACAAAGAATGTGACGTCCTAGTGAATGCAAACACTGAATTACGTTAAAGATCAATTTCGAATTATTCTAATTTATATTTAAACCGACCCTTCTAAAGAAGTTGTGAAATATGGCAAAAATTCGAAATTTTAAAATTAAGTATATTTCGGTCGGTTTTTGTAATATGATAGACAAGCGTTTTGTGGTTTATTTCTTATAATAGTTATAAATTTTTACTCAATATAACTACAGAGACCGGGAGATAGTATAAAAGGTTAGATTTCGCATTATTTTAAAAATTAATTTTTTAAAGTTAAAAAAGCCAAAACATGAATACTTGTGTTATTTAACACATTTTTGCAACTATAAGTATTTGGTTGGCAAGAAAGTAATTTCGGTTTGCACCATTATTTATATTTTTGTATATATTTATATTATAAATATTATATTTATGTATATTTTATGAATTACACTTAATTTAAGTTAAATATTAACAAATTCTAAATTTTAAATTAAAAAAAATGGTTATACAATAAACGTCACAATGATAATGAATGTCATGCACAATTATGAGCACACGCATAATAAAATAACTATATTGATCATTAAAGCAACTATATCTCATATTTCAACGTTTACTTTTTCGAATTTCCAACGCGATCTTTGTTGCACATGACTTAAGTAATCCAAATGCCGTTTTCGCCAAATGCTCTGAAATAATTTACTTATTTTTTCCCATTTGCTAAGCCTGTTCTCGTTAATGGTCGTTAAATCTGGCTCAATTACTCAATTATACGAGTAATTGACCTCCCAATGAGAAAGCGGGGAGAGGTCAGTCCATTTAGATGCTCGATGTCAGCAGTCATTGGAACCAAAAGTCTACAATTTAACAGTCCTTCTATTCGTTCAGTTAAGAGTAAAAACCCTTCATACGTTAATTTTTGACTCCCTAGGACTCCTTTACAATAATATTTAAAGGATTTAACACCTGCCGGCAGGCCTCTGAAATTTGGAGCTCAAGGAGGAGATTAATGTCAGTCAATATTCTTTGAATTTATATATTTTGACAAAAGATTATGTGACTGATTTCCCATTTTGAACATCTTTTTTAGCTCTGCATTTGCTCCTATAAAGTTTTTCACATTGTCTGTGTACAGATCAATGCATTTCCCTCTTCTGGATTCAAATCGCTTAAGTGCAGCTACGAAGGCAGTTGAAGTGAAATCTGTGACGAATTACAAATGTATGGCTTTGGTTACAAAATAGATAAAAATACGTACATAAATTTTGTTATATATCCACTTTCTCTCTTTCTTGCATTTAATATAGAGAGGACCACAGTCTCCACCAGACTTTTATATCTAGTACAGAAAGCACCACAGAATAATATTGAATGGATAGTTTTGAACAATTTGATCACTTGGCAAGTTACCCATTAATTGTTGTGTTGAACTTATTTATAAAGTCAATTGCACACTTATGCACAGTTTTTCTACACAGTTTCTTCTTTCTTTCTCCTTTTCATTACCCAAAACAGTTTCCCTTATGTAAGTATTATAAATTAGGTCCTCTACGTAAATATTATACATGATAATATTCTGTAGCGTTTCCCTTAGTTCACTAACCAGTCATTTTAATTTTGGTACCTTTTCTGAATTCCATATTTCCCTCACATTTCCTCGCCAGGATGCAAATTCAGCGGACGAAAGAAAGTATTTAAACGGGTTAAACGAATAAGTTTAGACAGAGCGTGATTTCGCATTTCGCTAGTATAGCGCACATTTGCTATTTTTGTCCTGTAGTTGTTAACTTAGTAGCGGTACGCATTCTGGCTGTTTACTTAGTTTATCGCTGGTGTAGGTTGCTGAGTCAGCCTGTTAGGTTAAATTAAATTCTGAAGTCTAGCACTATTTCTTATCTTTCGAATTTATTTTAAATTTACCTTAAGTCTCAGCGTAGTTAGGTGTTTTTGTGAGCATGAAGTCTGTGCCTTTTTATTAAAGAGTTGTGATAAATAAAAGGGTTATTTACACCCTTTCCCTGCTGTATTCATTTTCACGACTGTGCGAGAAATCGCCAGGCTATACTTTGAGATCTAAACACCTTGTATGATAGCAAAAAAAGGTTAGATCTTATAATTCAACTATAATTTCAGTTAACTCGTGAGTGGATGGTAGAATAATTGAGAATTTTTTTACCATAATTTACATCACTCTGTTCAAGTCCACCTAATCTTAAAATTCCATCTTCATCAATTAATGGATGCAAATTATTAACTCTTTGAACTTACTACCCCGTTTTTCCAAATACAGATTTCGCTAAGAAATGATTTTTTCTGTATTAATCTGATTCATATTTTCTCACCTTTACCAATTTCTTTTGTTGAGAAGGTTCATGCTAGCCTTTCCTTTTTTTCGATAATTTCTCATAAACCTCAAAATAAAGCTTAAAACTCGAACAAGTTTAGAGTAACTATTACATATAGCAAGAAAATGAGAAACAAATATATTACTAATAAGACAAAATGTTTTTAAGTAAGAGTCAGCTTTACTGAGTTTTTCAAGTTTACCAGAAGATGGATCACAGCATCCGGAATATCTATGTTAGGATATTCTTCCATAACAAGGAATTCGGGTCCACAAAACCACAGATTACAATGAACAAGTCTGTCAGGTTCTACTCCACGTGAGATCAAATCTGCAGGATTACTTTACAGAGAAACATATCTCGATTCTGCACACCTGACATCACTTGAATGGTTGTCACTCTGTTGGCCACAAAAGTTTTTAACTGGTTGGCATCCTTGCTTTTAATCTTCACAGCATAATCATTGAATCACTCCAATAATAGGGAGACATTATGTTCAGTTTTAATGCTACTTGCACCTTTTAATCAGTTTTACTAGGACAATCGTTGTACAAAATTCAAGACGCAGCAGACTTTATAGGTGCGACTCTGAATTTGCTCGCAATCAACCTTGTCTTCATTTCTCTATTCGCACTGACTGATATGGCATATATTACTGTCCCATAAGCCAATTCAGAGCTGCCCGTGGATCCATGCAACTCAATTACTGCTTCTATTATGACGCATGTCTCAGTCATCATGTTATTTATTGTACGTAAGGACTTCATAAACCTTTGCCACTCTTTTTGAGTTTCTTCTGGTAAAACATCATTCCAATCTATCTTCAGAAGCCACAACGTTTGCATAAATATCTCTCTCTGCCTTTGATATTATAGGACCTAGCAGTTTCAATGGGTCAAATAAATGCGCTATCGTTGACAATACAGTTCTCTTAATGTGCTCAATTACATCCTCATGCTTCACCTTAAATTAAAAATGGTC